TGCTTGCTGTGTGTCTTCCTACATGTAGGAAGTTAATGCATGATGAAAATTTTGACACGATCTGTCCAGAGATAGGGACTCTGTATGGTATTCTTATGAAGAGGAGGTGCAAGGACCTTTCTCGAGTACAAAGAGTGATATCGATGTCATTGTCAGAACAAAAGGTTCATCAGAAGGTATTCTACAGTTGTGTGTTCTCAGTAAATTTTTATTTTCGTTTTCTTTACAATGTTTAAAGTTAAAATATTATTTTACTAACATGTATTTTTGTGTCGAGAGCAGAGTTACATCAAGGGATCACTCTAACAAGCGTTTGTCTGTCCGTTCGTCTGTCACAACTCGTATTTCGAGAACTATAAGAGTTATGGATTTGATATTTTGCACATACATTATTTGACACTATTATGGGCCTATGGCTTTTGTAAATTATCATGGTTTTTCACCTAATGACCTTTGATGTTTTTTTTACAATGTGTGTCATATATCATCAATTGTTGTGAAAAATGCCTTAGAACACACTAGTTAATCTATTGCCACTGATAATTGTTTGTGTTTTTTTGTTGTTTTCAGCCTTCTCCATTTCAGAATGGAAATGTTTGGGATGTCTTCCGTTTTCTGCTTACTAAATCTCATTAAACCATACTTTGTGAGCATGATTTATGGAATAATTATGTCATGAACCTTAGTATGGATAATTGAGTTTTTTCATTTTCTCCAGAAAAAGACAGAAAGAGACAGGTTTATGCCACTCATGAAGTATTTAATGTGTATTCTAAAGGGCCACAATAATAATCCCAAGTATGCACTTGAAATTTTGCACTTCCTTGTCCAGAAGCAGTGCACGTTGGATGAGAAGATAGATTACCAGTCTTTTTATGGTCTCTTTGTCAATAATAAAGGAAAGTTTGATTCGTCAGTTCCTGCAGACCTACAGATGGAACACATTGTGAGACTAATTAAAGGTCACTTGAAAGCTGTCCATTCAAACAAAACAGACACTGCCATTGCAAAGAGAACAGCTGCCTTTGCTGGCATCAAAAATATATCAGCATCTTTTGATGATTCCTCTGAGGTTATTGTACGTTCTCAGAAGCACAAAGTTGTTTCTTCGAACTCTGATGAATGCATGATTATCAGTGACTTACAGAAACTAAACCTTTCGGCTTTAAAGATGGACGAAAGTTACAATTATTTCCCAAACCTGTCCAGAGTCCATTGAGTCATCTCAATATGCAGAAAATGAAGTCATGGATTCGTGAACACCAGTACAATCTTTACCATGGATTAAGAAATTAAGGTAAGACATCCGTAAAATATATCCAAGTCCCATGTACATCAAAATTTGCTTTTTGGTAATAGAATTATATGCTATATATCAGTGTATATCCTAGTTAAGAAATAATAAATTTCATGTATTTTGAAGATTTATGACAAAACGTCATTACAAGAGTTGTGTAAATCTGTTATTAAGCTTGTTCAAAAACAAGGAAGTTTAACTTACATATTAGTATATTGTAACAGGACTGTAAACTGAAATATGTTTATAAAAGCCATTTTTCAAAATATTGCTTATTTAGAGACAAATCAATGACCTGTTTAATTAAACAACATAATGTCATAATGTCTTTGCAACTGCGGGGGAAATTTGAAAGTCTTAGGTCAGTTCCTCCTCTGCAAGGTGTAATCTAGAAAAACGAACTAAATGTTCAATACACTCAAAGCTTACTTCCTCTTCCTCTTTCAGAACTGTCACAAAGAAAGTTAATGCAGATCTGAGAACAGACTTATCTATCTCAGAATCCTTTTCAGCTGACTCAGAAGAAGGACAAGAATCATCACATACATCACAACAATTTTTAACCATAGCAGTAGATTCTGTGAATCCAAAGTGGGAGTTCAAAAAAGCTCGCCTACAAAGTGAGTCATTCGTGCAATACTCCTTAATTTCCTTTGAAATGTTTGGACGCCCAAGGTCACTGCTATTGAAGTACAAAATGGCTTCACACTGCATTTCACAGTTTCGTCCACCACGGCCAATATGCTGTATGTATGCTAAATGTATAAAATTGAAACATAGAAGAAAAGTTTTTAAGTAAATATGAACCAAATTATTTTACATATAACTATCACTACAATACGTTTTTCATTATCACAAGAAACAAATTTCCATAATGTAGAAGTAATTCTGCAATATACATATGATATATTGTAGATTACCTCCTACTTCTGGTATTATTATATCCACAATAATATAGGGTATTTTATATTGTAGAAAATTTACCTTCCAGATTTTGGGGAAGACCAGCATGTATTACCTGGGCTACATGCCGCAGGTCTGCCCCCATCCCCAGTGCTACAGTAGCAATTATAACTTTCACGGGACTCTCTTTTGGATCTTGTGCCAGATTCTTAAATATGATATCCTTGAGCTGAAATTCATTTATTAAAATTTAGTAAGTTTAATTGAAATCTTTTGGAATATGAAATTAGAAATCCAGCATAGATACCTAGTAGATTTTCAAGACCCTACCTTTATGACAGAAATTACAAACATTTGCTACATAAATATGTAATTCAATTTCTCAGTTTTATCAATTGCATATGACTGTTAATTAGGTCAAAGACCAACACAGGGAAGTTGATGGATTTTACATGTATATGTATTATAAAAATTTATTCAGTTAATGGAACTCTAATTGATCTGTCCTTTTTCTATCTAAAGAAGTTTCACTCTCTATAGGTATGAGACAATATTCAACTCATCTCCTTTTTCCAAACCAGAATGGAACATCACTACCCTGAGATTCTCTGGACATCTCCGCCCATCACCACCATAAATACTATCTCGAAGGATTCTTCCCACAAGTTCATGCCCGTTGCCCACCCAATCCATGTTCCCGCAGCAGTATATCAGTTTAAGAGGATAATCTTGATTTTTTTTCTTAAGTTCACAGAAAACAGACTCGAACACATAGTCAAAAGCCTTTTGTACGGATTTGTTTTTCCCAACACCAGGTCTCTTTTTTTATAAGTTTAATGTTATCTTTTGTTGGAACTGTGATAATGGACACATACTGGGTCATCAGCAGGTGCTGGGCAACATTTTTCTGGCCATCTGTGGACAAAGTAGCACTTAATGCCAGCACTTGAACATTCGGTACTACAGCTCTTGCATGTAAATTGATTTCTCTAAAAACAGGACGGAATCCCCCCCCCCCCAGTCTAGAATACAGTGTGCCTCATCGACAGCAATATATGATTTCTGAAGACAGGAGCGTAGAGCTTTATATACAGCTTTGTTACCAATGATGTTTTCAGGATGAGAAAAAATATATGTGTAAGTATCTGATGCAATTTTGTCAATTTCACTTTCATTCATTTTGTTTTTTAAGCAAATGCTGGTGTTTTCCCAAGTTTACTCAGTTGCTGCTCTATAATGATGTTAAGAGGTTCAATGATTAACACAAAAACATCCACCTTAGTTTCTTCTTTGTAAGCTATAGGTAAAAGTTCATATATTAGACTTTTCCCATAACCGGTCGGCAACATACATACCACATCTGTCTGTTCATTAACCAGCAGTTTGAGTGCTTCCTTTTGTTTAGATTTTAGGCATGTTATATTACAATTAAAGGTGCTGTTGTACGTGTTTAGTATTTCTTTTTTTTAAATTTTCATCAGCCTGGAAAAAAATAAATAAAACCTTGATTATCTCTGCCAGCATCAGTGATGTTCCTATATTGTAAATGTTTTATTAATCATCATATCGTGTACAGTAAAACTTGGGTATTAAGAACTTGCATGTAAGGATATCTTGATTACTGGTACTACAAATGTACAGTACATTTACAGTACTTGTAAGGAAGAATTTTCTGATCACTTAAAATACTTTGCATGATATTGAAATATTTTTATAAGGAATGTTTGTTATAAATACTAAAATCTATAAGTACCAGTAACTTCCTTATAACCAAGTTTAACTGTACTAGTAGTTTTTCTAAGTAAAATCAACACACCACATAAGAATTAACTAGAGGTACTTTGAGCACAGAGCTCACAAATTGATACCCCCTGCCTCTCATATGATTATAATGGCATGTTTTGCTCTAGGAGATCCAAAATAATTGTCATATTAAAAAGTAAAAAAAATAGGAAGGTGCACAATGGCACCATGTAACACAGATTCTGTTGCGGGCGGACAACGGATATACAGACAGCTGTTGGCAGCAAGTAATATCTTCTTTATTCATGATGACAAGGTCAATTATATTCTTGATATTTAAAAAAGTGAAAAGCAGGGTGGTATATATTGATGGGGGTGTCCATCCATCCATGTAGGCTAAGCAAGATGAACACCCTCATTCCAAGTTCTGGATATCAAAAACTACATTGAAATATTATAAACAAATTGCAAATGAACCAGAAAAATAAATTCAATATCTATATTCATCATGTTCATGGTTTTGTTTCTACTTATAGCTGAGTACTAACTCGAAAGACAAAAACACCCTCAGACCGCATTTAAATATATTTGACCTAAGGAAACATTACACACATCACATTTATAAAAAGAACAGGCTGACATATTCGGCAGTAACCCTGGCTAATTATGAAAACAAAAAGAAATTTAACTAGAAAGTCTGCTATTGCAAGCAATAGCGTATGTCGCCCCGAACTTGACAAGACTTTCATTTTTTCATCACTAAAACAATACCCATTAGCTAAGCTTGGGCAACCATCAACTCGTATCAGTCCTTTCAGTACTTTGATTTAAAAATCAAAGTTAAAGAATTTTCATTTTCCCCCTGTTTCCATGGAAACTACTGACAACTTGCAATTTTTAAATCCAATGAGCACAATTACAGATACTAATCATTACATTAAAAAAAATTCATGAAGAATGTTCAAGGGACCAGAGAGAACACTCGCGGACAAAATTCGTCGTTTTTTGCAGGTTTCCTTGGCAACGGTAGCCATTTTGAAACTGAATGACCACACAACACAACTACAACCAATGATCCTCCTTTGAAGAAAGTTTCAGGAAGATTGTCCCAGCCATCTCCGAGAAACAGCCTGGAGAACAAAAACATGCGTACAATCGCAATATGTCGCCGACTTCGTTCTGGGCGACATAATTATGTTCCCCAAACGAAGTTGGGGAACATATTGTTTTTACTCTGTTTCTTATTATTATTATTATTATTAAGGTCTTCCGTCTTCACGGAAGACCTTATAGTGATTCTACTGTTTCTTATTATAAGGTCTTCCGTCTTCACGAAAGACCTTATAGTGATTCTATTGTTTCTTATTATTATATAGTTAAGGTCTTCCGTCTTCACGGAAGACCTTATAGCGATTCTATTGTTTCTTCTTATTATTATTATTATTTTTCTGACGCATTTTCTCAAAGACTACTGCATGGAATTACATGAAATTTTCAGGACATGTGTTGTTAAATGAATTTGATACATCTGAGAGATTTTTTGGAAAATCGCTTCCGGTGCCAAGTTACAGACCTTTTTCTGATTTTTAAAATGACATTTTGTCTACAGATTTTCTCAAAAACGGTAAAAGATATCAAGCTGAAACTTTCAGAGATTATAGATGATGATAAATACTATCCAGGACGCCACTTGTCGTTCGTCGTCATTACTTCCGGTTGCTACCGGAAGCTAATTTAAAAAGTCCAAATTTTCAACTTTTTTTGTTTTTTAATATTTTTCATTTATTTTTGGTATGTTAATAGAAACCTTTTTTATAATGCTAACAATAAAATTTGTTTGAATATTGATAAAGCTTAACTGTAGATATTAGTATTTTAAAATCTGAAGCGGATCCAAGATGGCCGCTCTCTCTGTCAACTCCGACATTTCGCAATAGGGGTTTACTGAGGCAGCCAAGCGTTTGCTTGAACGAAAGTAACATAAGGACAAATGAAATGTAAAGGAATACTTGGATTGTCACGTCGTAGTTACGTTGCAATTCTGTGTCAAACGAAGTTCTTCCTAAACGTATTCTATAATTGGTTTTGGCTGGTTCTCAAAGTAGAAAAAGAAAAGACTAAATGTGCAAATGAAATTCGATACCTAATATCTTCTAATTTGCACCACGGAAAAACAGATATTTAATAATTGTTATAAGTAAGTTTTTCAAGAAAGAATGTCAATGAATACAGTAAGTATAAAACTTACCCACTTTTTCCCCATGCACATTTGTGCCATATTAACTAATAGAAAAGACAAAATAAGACAACCATTTCTTTTTTAAAGATTGCTTCATGGAGTTTATATTAAGATTATTGTCTCAAAGATCTTATTCAAGTTTTTCAGCACAAATGGTATCCAATTCCTAGATCGTCGTAAGGGGAGCCATGTTTTACGGCGATACATTTCAACCTTATTATGAATGTTTAACTAATCGGGATAGTTTACTTCGGCGATAAACAGGAGATTTGAAAAAAAAGATAAAATTCATAGCCGTTTCAATGCTTTAGTGTTACTAGCTTACATACTATATGGCATGGTAAAATGTGTTAAATATGCTTTCTAATCGTCGAAGTTTAGGCTATATGAATGTTTTTTTTTAAATTTCGTTAAAGCTATCACAGCTATTAAATAGAACATTCCAAAAAATGTCGCGAAGTTTAACTCGTGGCGTTTGGCGCGAAATTATGAATAGTGACCAGCCTTCCATAATTCTAAGACCAAAGCACTACAGAGGTATATACAAAAAGATTAAGAGCAGAGGTCCGAATAGCCTAATATTTAGCGAATTGGATTTTCATGCTCGCGACTTGGATTCAATCCCCCTTGTGTGCAATATTATTTTCTTTTCACTTTTACAGCTCGAATTTTCAGGTTTTTTTTGGAATCGGACGGAAGACCTCTCGTTGCTCGCAACGAGATCGTATCTAGTTATTCTACTGTTTCTTATTATTCTTTTTATTTTTTTTCCAAAATTTTGTGCACGCGATTTCTCGAAGACTACTGGATGGAATTACATGAAATTATCAGAAAAGATGTGTCGTAACATGAACTTGATCTATCTGAGCGATTTTTTGAAAATTCCCTTTTGGTGCCAAGTTACGGGACATTTCCTGATTTTAAAATGACATTTTGTCCGCGGTTAAACTCAAGAACGGTAAAAGATATCAGTGAGAAACTTTCAGGGATTATAGATCGTGATATTCTCCTTCCAGGACGCGATCTTTCGTTCGTCGTCAGTACTTCCGGTCATTACGACAAGCGAATTAAAAAAAATCATATTTCCTAACTTTTTTGTTTTTCAATATTTTTCATTTATTTTTGGAATGTTTATAGAGACTCTTTTATTGATGCTTACCATATAATTTGTTTGAATATTAATAAATTTAAACTCTAGATATTAACATTTGAAAATCTGAAGCGAGCCTAAGATGGCGGCTGTCTGTCAACTCCGCCATTTCGCGAGTAGGGGGTTAAAGAGGCAGCTGAGCGTTTGCTTAAATGAAAGTTACATAAGGATGAATGGAATGTAGATGAGTACGTTGATTGTCACGTAGTAATTACGTTACAATTCTGTGTCAAACTAAAGATATATTCCAGGGTCTTCTCAAACGTCTTGTATAATTGGTTTTGGCTGGTTATCAAAGTAGAAAAAGAATAGACTAAATGTGGAAATGAAATAGATATCTACTATCTTTGAACCTCGGAAAACAGATCTGAAATCTTAGTTTGAGTAAAAGTTTTTCAAGAAACAATACCGATCTATATAGTAAGTATAAATCGTAAACATTGTTAACCCATGCACACTTGTGTCATATTAAACTAATAGAAAAGACCAAAATAAAATATTTTTTAAAAAGATCGTTTAATGTACTAGTGATTTGAATTAACATTCTTTTCTCAAAGATCGATACGATCCAAGTTATTAAACATAAATGGTATCCGGTTTCTTGACCGTCGTAGGGCGATACATGTTTTCGTCGAACCATTTCAACCTTTTCATGAAAGTGTAACTAATAGGGATAGTTCACTCTGGGGATAAACGGGAAATTCAAAAGAGGGTTTTAAATTATAGCAATTGCATTGCTTTAGTTTAACTTACCTCTATACGATATAGAATGTGTAGAATGCAAAATATAATTTCTAAACCTCGAATTTTAGAATTTAGGAACGTTCTTCTTTTTGATTTCACTGTAATAACGGTCTTAATATCACGCCCATTCAATGGAACATTCCAAAGAAAAGGCGCGAAGATTTACTCGTGGCGTTTGGCGCAAAATTATGAATAATTGCCCGCCTTTCATGATTCTTAAACAGGTGTACTATTGTAGAAGTATATATACAGGAACATTAAGAGTAGTAGTTCCAATAGCGTAGTGGTTTGCGCTAGAGATAGAAATAAAAAGTGAGTTGGTTTTTCCCCATTGGGTTCAATCCCCATTGTCACAAAAAAATTTTAATCCCCTTTTTAGCTTAATTTTATTTTTTTTCAAAATCGGACGGAAGACCTCTCGTTGCTCGCAACGAGATCGTTTCTAGTTCTTATTATTATTATTCTTTTTTTGACAAAATTTTGTACAGGCGATTTCTCGAAAACTATTCAGCGGTTTTTCATGAAACTTTCACGAAATATGTGTCATTATATGAAGTTGTTACATCCGAAGAGAAAT